CTCTCACACCAGAAGCGACTTGCAGTTTCTCAAGCTGTTTCTGTCTCTATTAAAAAAGTTGGTAAATTCTGGTTTGTGGTTCTTATATCTGTTACTCATTTTTGTGTGTAGATTTTACTTAACAAAATAGATAACGATAGATAGACAGGCATATATAAAAGAAAAAGAGTTTCGGAGCCTCGGAGGAACCACCAAGAACACTCTCTGTCGAGTCTTTCTCTTCAGATAATCTGGAGCTAAACTGTTTACAGCTTTATAGATCATAACCAGCAGTTTGAATAATAAAAACAAGTCTTATAAATATAGAACCTTGTTCCTCCTCTTCTCTCTGGCTACTTTTTTCCTTTCATTACCTTCCTCCTGAACTACTCCTAACTCGGGATGTTGTGTAATGCTGAACTGTAGTTAAGGCAAGGGATCTGGGGACTGGAGCTAGGGAGAAGAAGGAAGGCAACATACCTTCCCCATCTTGTCCTGGTGCATTGCAAACTATAGTTGGCAGGGAGCCAGTGTTATACTTCCTCCAGACTCGATTAATCTACTGCCAGTGATTGGTATTCTGTCAGTGGCATTAATAAAATTCTAATGAATCAAAATAGAATTACTGCTGTGTTGTCAAACCAGAAAATGAAATGCAAATTAGAAGGATAATAACATTTCCTATCCAAACTGCTGATACTGAATGAACATTCAGGCCTCTCAGTTTCACAGAAATTCTGTCATGAAAATGAAACCACCTTTGTTCTGCTGAGTTCTGTGAATTCAAAAATGTATACTCAGCAATTAAGGTCCACTCTGGACAACACATATTCCATATTTGTATTTGGGAAATGATGAAATGTGTTTACTTGCCCCGTTTTGCTCACCTTTCTGCCAAGGTAACTAACAACAATATAATTCAAATTAAAAAATAAAATATAGCTGGTTTAACAATGAAAACGCATTAAAGAGACAAGATGTTTTATCTAAAAACTAACTTAGATGCCAAAGGTCTCTTATCAGTCCATTTGTACATCTGTCTTTGTACATTGTTTTTTTTTCAAAAAAAATCTTATCTTTTTATTTTTGTCTATGCACTCTTGCTTCTTCTAGGTTGAATAAAGGTGTTTCCTCCAACGCCTTCCTCTTGTTTTGTTTCCCCTGGCTCTTAAATCTGTCAGATGCCAAGCTGTGAAATACAATGCTGGAGCCATGATTGCTTTTTATTTAAGAGGGATTGGAGAACACTGCCACCCCCAAAAGCATGTTGCTGGCAGCAAAAAAATAAAAATAAAAAAATAACCAGGGATGGTGTCACAGATTTACTGAGTTACAAATCTTTCTGAGAACATTTTTGGGAAATCATTGTGACAAGTGGGACGGACTTCTTGCCTTCACCACATTCAATTTCTTTCTGCTCTCCCCAAACTTGTTGAACTAAATTTGGAATTGTGCCTCTGTTGGGCTCTCCCTGAATCGTGAAGTCGTGAAGCTGCAGTCAAGGAACATACCAGGAGCAGGGAGAAAATACTGAATTTCCTAATTTAGAAATCTTAAGAAAGAGAAAGCTGGATATAAAAGACCAACCTGAAACAGCCTATTTGAAGTCTGTGCCATTTATATTGTCTTTCTGGGTTTTCTCTCAAGGCACATCCTTCTTATCAAGAAGTCTGCCTCCGTGCCTCAGAGAAGAATTTTATCACGCAAATAATCTGATGAATTGCTGTTTGTGCCTTATCTCACCAGCCTTTGCTATCTCCTGTTCATGACTCCTCATATACTAACAAAAGAGGATATTTGTCAGCATCCTCAGGCCCTATCCAAAGATTATATATATAGAAGATTTTTTTCCCCTATACTACATTTCTTAGAAAGGTTTTGGGATTTCGAAAAGTAAAGATTTTATAAATGTCCTGACTAGTTCATATGCATATTCCTGCAATGTTTAACCCAGGACATGAAATTATGCAGCATTAACCCTTCTGATTTATTGAATACAATCAAGATATCATTAAATGATCTGAAATAGGGCCCATGTTTCTACTGCTTCTTTCTTACTGCCATTTTATAATCAAAGCTATTTTGCCATCTTTAACCACGGTACCACTTACATCAACACCAATCTGACTTATAGTTAGTACTATCCGAAGTTTGTTATTAAGGGTGATTTGGAGCCAACTGGTGTTGCTGGAGGTTAATATTCAGTCATGCAAATCTGCTACGTTAAAGATTCTGTGTTACATGTACTATAGACAAGGGTGCTTTAACATATCTCATTATACTTGCTGGTGTTTATATGCCTTCCAGTTGACTCCAACCTATAGTGACCCTTCTGTAGGAGTTTCTTGGCAAGATTTAATCAGAGGAGGTTTCTCGTTGTCTTTTTCTAAGACAGTGGCTCCCAAACTTTGGTTTTCCCAAGTGTATATTTGCCCAGGTCAGCTGGTCCAGTGGTCACCAACTATGGGGCATGAAATCCAAAATACCTAGAAGATCAACATTTGGGAACCACTGCTTTGAGGGCAGGAGACTGATATTCCCAAGGTCACCCAGAAGGTTTCCATTGTTGATTGAAGAGTCAACCCTTGGTCTCCCAGTCCTACTCCAGGACTTAACCTACTATACTATGCTGTTTTACATTAGGACAGCTCCAAACAAAGAGTATCCCCAGTCAAATCTAGGTGGTGAAACTATTCTTTTTTTCACCTATTTTTCTCATATAGGTGAGAAATATATGGGGCAAAGACAGGTTTTGGGGCCAAAATTGAGGATTTTGATACGACTCGTGGATAAATCCACAGAGAGGATTATTCCACAGAGAGGCGCAAACACTGACTCCCTCTACTCTCTCTGCTTTTTGAACGCCATTTCCCCATAAAAGTGTTTAAGAAAGGAAGGGGTTAAGACACAGTACTTATATTGATCTGTGGATAAATCAACATGATTTTTTGGGTTCATTTTTTAATTAAAACTTCTAAGATTGTTTTTTTTCCCCCTGGCTTTAAAAAAGAGTTGGTATTCTATTGAGTACAGCAGAGTGGTCTCCTTACCTCTTCAGTAGTTTACTCTATGCTGTATACAAGAGATGGAGATAATATATGCGAGATGACAACTCACTCCCAATATCCAACTGCAAATCCCCTATTATTCTTCACTAGTATCAGTGCTGTCTAATTTACAGTTGTTGACCCTTTAAGTGGACAGATGATCCTAGCCCTCTTTTTAACTGTAATTAAACTTCTCGGAAGTTGGTTGTTTCCATGGGTTGCACTCTGTTATTTTCTGAGTCCTCCAGCATACGAAGCACTGTTACACAATAAACCAGCACTCACCTCTCAGATGGAAGCAATCACAGAAAGCTAACCACCCAATGTGTCTACTTTTTTTTGTCTGACTGATTGAATGCTTCCTAATTAATGTCCTGCAACCACAAATTCTGTTTTTGCATTGTTTGGGATCCCAATTTAGAAAGATTTTACGTATTGAGTATTCTTCCTGTTCCTGAAGCAATGTAGTGATTCATATATTATGACACCAAACATTTCAAGTGTTGTTTTCCACGAAGGTGAAAGCCAGCACTAGCTCCAGCCTTCAGAGTTAAGAGCAAGAAAGGTTCAGTCGCAGTTATTTCCTAATTTAGTTCAGTAAACTATTTGTAGAAGTGTTGTTTTGATTTATTTTAGAGTCAAGTAAATGTAAGCAGATGGGTTTTCTAAGAAACCAGATTTTTTAAATGTGCTATAGTTAAGGTACTAAAATGGAACCTTTCTGACCCAGTTTACTAAAAATACAATGCAGAGTATAAATTTGAAGCAGACAAGTGCCATAGGAGCTGCAGGAACAATTACATGATATGTAATCTTAAGAAACAGTCCAATTCATTTTGTTTTTCCTGTGGCCATTTAGTGATTCAGGTAGTTTGAATGTGTAGCAGTATTGAAACCCCAGAGCTTGAGTTGGGAAATGTCAGGTGATGATGATATTTATGCATCTGTATTTCTGGGCATGCATATGTTCACATCATTCAGGTGCAGAGGAGTGAATTTTCAGTGAGATCTACTCTCCAAGTTAAGATTCTAATTAATTACAGTATATTCTGGCGTATAAGACTACTTTTTAACCCAAGAAAATTTTCTCAAAAGTCAGGGGTCGTCTTATATGCAGGTGTAGTCTTATGCATGGCTGTCGTCTTAACTCTATATTTTAACTGGAAAAGTTGGGAGTCGTCTTATACCCCCCAGTCGTCTTATATGCCGGAATATACGGTAGTCCTCTCATTTAAGCATGTGCAAATTGGAGATTGGCTTGTGCAGTTTATAATGCAGAAAATCCCTTCTCAGATGTGGTTTGGTTGTTTTTGTCTTTACAAAGCTTCGAGCAGGTACTTTAAGCCAAATTATTAGGTCACTACTTTCACTTTTGAAATAACTCTGATCTCTTTCTGAATAATGTTTTGTTTTTCTTTGTCCTATATACTGTTGTACATTACTTTGGGAATCTGGGTAGACTAAAAAGCAGTTGATAAAGTTGGCCCTCCCTATTCATGGGTTCCGTATTCATGGATTCAGCCAAGCACAGCATGTGAGGTCTTGAAACCAAGCCCCAGCAGATTCCAATACTCTACTATATATGTTCTCAATAAAAAATATCTACTGAAGATTGGTTCAGACTATCTTTTCCATAAAACCAAATCTCTAGCTACAAAGGTATTCATGTCTATATTTTAGATTATTACCATAGTTTCCTGACAAATATTTCAACTCACAGTATTTTCAGCCACCGTATTCATAGAAATTGCTTCTGGTGGCTGTGACATGAAGGCTCAGACTTGGAACTGATGTGTGGTATACATTTTAAATTTTAATCTTGGGATGACCCAGATAAGACACTTTTATATGCACATCATTGTTTAGGTTTTGATAGTATAATTAGCAATAACACACAAGGGTTTTTATTCCTTGCAGGAAAAATGTTAATGGGGTTACAGTATAGACATAATTGTGCTTTTGTTTTGATTTCAGCCACATTGTACACATCCTCCATTTTGCTGGGTGTCTTTTTGAACAGCAGCGTACCTATATTCTTTGAACTCTTTGTGGAAACAGTCTATCCAGTTCCAGAAGGAATTACCTGTGGTGTGGTCACCTTCCTGAGCAACATGTTTATGGGAATACTCTTATTTTTTCTCTTTTTCTACCATGAAGGTAAGGATTGTTTAGAAGTTTGAAATGTGATAGAATGCTCTCTTTCATGGGGATGTTTAGTTTTGATTTTAGTAGAAAGCGGAGTCCGCCTAAATACTCTAAAGATTCCAGATCCCATCTGATCTTGGAAGCTTAGAGGGGTCAGCTCTGGTTAGTTCTTAGATCAGTGGTTCTCAACCTGTGAGTCCCCAGGTGTTTTGGCCTACAACTCCCAGAAATCCCAGCCAGTTTACCAGCCTTTAGGATTTCTGGGAGGTGAAGGCCAAAGCATCTGGGGACCCACAAGTTGAGAACCACTGACTTAGATGGTGGATCACCTATGAATACCTAATGCTTTGGGCTGTGTTTCAGAGGAAGGAACTGGGATAACTACCTCTGAGTATTCTTTACCTAAGAAAACCCTATGACATTTTTGGAATTGCCATATAGGCACACATGCATGCATGGACATACAGGAAGAGAAAACTGCATGCAGATCTTTGATTAATAATGTGTATGAGTTCCCACTACATCTGGAGAGCAAAAGACCTCTTTTGTGTTGGTCTTTATCCATGTGCCAATCAAAGACAGTGCAGCGGCCTTTGAGATAAATCCTGTTGCAGAGCTTTTACAAAGAATAGTGTTATGTTATGACAGTTAACTACTACTGTAGCTAAGCAGGTTAAATTAACGGTGAAACTGTCTCATGCTTCAAGGTCTAATCTGATTGCCCATGATGGTGAGGAAAAGGTGTGTTTTTCTTCTCCTTTTTTGTGAAACTTACTTTTAGCTACTTTCCCTCCTGCCTTGTTTGAAACACACTTATGAAGATCATAAACTGTAATATGTGGATACTATTTTTTTTTTGTAATTTCAAGTATGGAAATGGCCAACAACCATTTCCACACAGAGGACCCCCAGCAAAAACTAGCTGCATATACTTGGGAACTCCACACCGATTGCAAGAGAAACCATGTTATCCTTTTCAAGATTCATAGAGGTGTGAGAGCATTTTTAACAAGTGTAAAAGAAAAAAAAAACAAGTTTCCCCACCTTTCCAGATTTTTCATACCTTCTTCTACAGTGTGCTTGTTGGGACAGCTGTTCAATATTGAATGCGTTATTGCTGTATAGTTAAGAGTTTTATGAAATTTCAGGATTTTTGGAATTTTGAAAGAGAAACAGATTTGAGTTGTTGTAGATTTTTCAGGCTATATGTCCATGTTCTAGAAGCATTCTCTCTTGATGTTTCGCCTGCATCTATGGCAAGCATCCTCAGAGGTTGTGAGGTCACAACCTCTGAGGATGCTTGCCATAGATGCAGGCAAAATGTCAGAAGAGAATGCATATAGAACATGGCCATATAGCCCGAAAACCCTACAACAATCCAGTGATTCCAGCCATGAAAGCCTTCGACAATACAGAAACAGATTTGTTTCTTTTTGAATCATAGTTTATACACTTCCTTATATGCTCAGATTTTATAGATGTTCTAAATTAAATAGGGAGTATTCTTAATTTAAGTGTTTCTACTCATCTTCATCTCCTCTTGCTGCCCTCCCAGTACCATAAACTGGATTTCGGGGCTCTTCAGATGTTGTTGAACTACAGTTCTCAGTATCTTCCGTCAGCATAGCTGGTGGTGGGAAGCCCCCGGTAGCACAGTGGGTTAAACTCTTGTGCCAGCAGGACTGCTGACCAAAAGGTCAGCGGTTCAAATCCGGGAAGTGGGGTAAGCTCCCATCTGTCAGCTCCAGCTTCTCATGCATGACATGAGAGAAGCTTCCCACAGGATGGTAAAACATCTGGGCATCCCCTGGGCAATGTTCTTGCTGACGGCCAATTTTCTCACACCAGAAGTGACTTGCAGCTTCCCAAGTCACTCCTGACATGAAAAAAAAAGCTGGTGATAGGAAACACTGGTGGTGAGAAACACTTAAAAGAAAAACAAGTATCTTTCCTTAAAGTTGCAAACTAACATATATTTGTAAACTTTATACATCTGTATGAAGAAACATATTGTTGGGTGGTCCTATTTTGCTTCAGAATGATAGGCATGGGACCATCCATCTCCAATGCTGGGTTGAAAAAGGAGGCTCCTGTAACAGTATGTTGTAGTGTATCTCCAGCACATAAGAGCAACCCTTATGTTCACGGCTCCAGACAACTCTTTGAGGGGTTTACAGAAGTAACCTTTTTTCTTCACTCTGCTAAAAGCTCCTTATGGTGTGCCGTGCAAAGCTAAAGGGCTCAGTATGAATCCTGACTGCCAGCTGTGAACATTTATTGCCATTTTATGATTGTATAGGTTGAGCAGTGGTGTAGCTGAGAGCACAAATGGACACACACTGCATATCCCCAAGCTCCCGATGCTCCTCTTCAGAATACTATTAAGGGCTCAAGCAGGCAGCCATTTGTCCTTCTTTAGCCATCTCTTCTGCTTTGTACCTTTCACATTCTCTGGTTTAGCTACTATCAAGTACAGGAGTGATGGAAAAAGCATGACCTAGAAACCGCATGATCACCTAAATCCCTTTGACCCTCCTACCTTTTTCTTTAGAAAAATCATCCTGAAATTTCTCTGAAAAATAGTCAAAACCTTACTGAAAATCCTGCAAGAACCTTACAGTTTAGGACACCTTAGCCCCACCCTTAAGCATCTCTTGCTGCCACATTCTGCCATATTTTGGGTCCTACACAGAACTGGATGTCACTTCTGCTCATCACCAGAAAAAACAGTGCAGCCTTAGGATGGTGTGTGGTGGGAACAGTTTCTGTCCCAAGAGCTGTGGACTTCTTTGCTGGTCAGATTGTTTTCACAGTTCCCCAATTCCTTCAGACTGTTTCCTCTTTTTAGGACAAAACTGAGAGATCCTTATAGAAAATAATGGGGAAATTCTATGCAAAACATATCACCTAGCTTTTGGTAGATTAGACTCAGAGGAAGGAGGTGTGAATATTGGAGGAAGAAATATAATCAATTTGAGAAATGCAGATGATACCATGCTACTCCCCAAAATATAGCAAAAACCTGGAATTGCTATTGAGGAAATTCAAGTGGAGTTATAGCTGAACGTTAAGAAACAAAATGAACCCATATGATTTTGTAACTTTAAAGTGGATGATGAACACAGCAAAATAGTCAAATATTTTATCTACCTTTTCTCAGTCGTTAATCAAAATGGAGATGTAATAATGAAACAAGAAAAAGATTAGAAGCCGAAAGGTATGAAGGAGCTAGATAAGATTCTAAAGTATAAAGATGTAATCATAGAATACCAAAGTCAAGGTCATCCATACTACAGTCGTTGGATTTTCTATCTCTGATTGTGATAGAACAGTGAAGAGGAGGTATGGAAATATTAACTAAAATCAACTAGTTTTGGTGCTGGAGTTGAGTTCTTCCATAGATAACTGAAGAGACCAATAAATGGGTCATGGAGCCCATCAAACCCGAACTCTCTCTAGAAGTCAAGATGATTAAATCAGTGCTGTTGTTCTCAGACCACATTGTGAAATGATATGACTACTGTAATGCTGGATAAAATGAAAAGCATTCGGAAAAAGGAAGAGCACATTATAGGATGATAGACTCAATCAAGGAAGCCACTGCCCTGAATTTACAGGAAGGGATCAGGGCAGTTGATGACCAGTTTCTTAGGAGTCTCTTATTTCTTGGGTCACTGTAAGATAACGCCGACTTGAAAGTTAACGATACAGTGTTTGTGATATGTAGTAGCTCTTCTTCGCATTCATTGTTTTTCCTTTTTGAAAGAAGAGGAGTATTTTAAGTGTCAGCTGTAATTTATTTGAAATTTCCAAACATCACTCATTTTGAGCACATATTTTTTAAACACATATATTTTGAGACTGGATAACAATCAATATAAACAGCAATTGTAAATGTATCTTGGTATCTCTCAGGCTTCTATTTGCTGTACATTTCAAGAACAAATCTGATAAATAATTTCTCCGATTTCAATTTCTATAGACTGTTTACGGCTGTTAAGACCAGAGTTTCTTCCTGCCTTGTTTCTTTAAAGAACCCATGAATACTTTGTGTTTTTATAAGCTGATAGGAATTCATCCAAGCAGCATTGTTTACTAATAATGAAATTCATTATTCTAAAGTCCCATTCATACTTTAGTAGTCCCATTTTCTAAAAACTTAGGCAGAAGCTTCCTTTCAACACAGCTGAAAGATTTCTCAGTAAAAGGTATTACCAATTGCAAAGGAGTCAGCTTTAAAGGCATAGCTGAAGGCCTTCTTCAGAACTTGTATTTTCTTTAATATATATATCATGCAGAATTTCAAATACCCTATCTTCTGAATGCAATTAAGTCTCCAGATGATTATTGAGCAATGGAGTTGTTAATGTCAATTCCTCATTGGCTGTAACAGAGCGAAGACAACTGTTGGGACTTGGGATATCTTGGAGGGGTGCCTCAGAATGCACAGGGGCCTTTAAACCACATATTTCCCTATAATTTTAGGAGTGGGAAAGGCCTTTTGCCGATAGGAAGTGACCACAAAGTTATTATTATTTTTTAAAAGGCATCTCATGGCCTTTAAATGTCCTGGAGAGACAAAATATGATGAAATTGCCTCCACCTTCTAGAATGCATTTGAAGACAAAATAATTTTGGGGAAAATTGGACCCCGAGGGTGGGGAGGGGGGACACAAAAATAATCCCAGCAAGAATGGATGTTGCTTTCGTTCAAGCTACTTGATTCATTGGAGCAGAGAAATTGGAAGGCAAATGCCAGAGCTATAAATGTACCTTTGAAAATCATTCTCCTCATCACAAAAGTCAAAACTGACACAAAATTTCATTAGGCAGTCTCTTCCCTGGTAATGATTATTCAGTATGTTTCAGAGGTTTCTGAATCTGAATTGCATTGGAAGCCTAATGTTTACAAATGAGAGGACAAAATCCTTGCACAACAAAATTGAAACATCCTGCCTGTATCTGAGAAAGGTGAGCAAAGAGGGCAGCTACTGACGTAGGCTTCCTCCTGTCATAAGCATTGTCTTTTGCTTTATGGCAGTGAACATTAATTTGAAATTATAAAAAAAACAAGCCTTTCCATACATAAGCCCCCCATAAAGTCAAATAATTTGTTTCTAAGTAAAAATATATAGGATCAAGCTGAACATCAGTGTTCTTCAACTGCATTTCGTTCAGCATGGAGATTGCTATTGTTTCTGCATTGTAATTTTAAAATATATCACTGCTACCTATTTCCATAAGCTGTTGCTTCCACCCTTTCATAAATGGAATGAATTAATATGTAGTTTTAAAGCTGAATTTTAAAGAAAGCAACAAGTTCTTTAGAAACTTACCAGGGATTCTCTAATGACCCCCCCCCCCCCCCAGCGAAATATCAGAGGTATCTCCCCCCCCCCATGGGAGCTTACTCGAGGTATGCGAAACGGCAGAAATCCATTCTGTTTTGTCCTGTTTTGGTTTCAAATTTCAGGTCCATCCACCCCCCACACTTCCCCCATTCTGTTTTCGGGAAGATTATTCCCAAAATGGAACTCAGGGTTCCGAATTAGGAATCCAAACAGCCCCCCTCCTAACCTCCCAATACCTTCTCGAAAACAGAATGGGAGGACATCCGAAATTTGAGACACTTGTCTGTCTTGGAACACAGTCATTAATCTCCCAAGACTGCTCCTTTCAGGGGAATGTTGTATGTAAATGGTAAGCACTAGGTGTGTGTGAAATGGCAGAAATCTATTCTGTTTCTGATATGTTTGAATGAAAGGGGCAGTCTTGGAAGATTAATGACTGTGTTCCAAGACAGACATGTGATGCACTGTCAAAAAATCAGAAGTATGTATTGAGCATAAAGGGTTTGAAAAACAAGATGATAGCAACAATCACAGTATTAGTAAGACGTAACCCTTTCCATTTCCTTTTAAAGAGTACATAACTTCTCAGAGTATTGCCTTCCAGAATAATAGATGCTAGCCTTGTTTCCTGCTGAGATCTCTTTCAATTTTTTACAAATGTGCTTCTGATGTTCATGAGACATTTGATGTTGCATGGTGTTGGAATACAGTGCTACATCTTTTCTTAAATATTACTTAGTTGGGAAATATATTTATAATCCAGTGTACATGTAGCATGAATATGGATCTGTATAATACATGCCTGTGGCTTTACTTGTTGTGTGCCATTATTATATTTCTACAAGTCTTCATACAAAATGTTGGTGTGTTTGGGGTTTTTTTTACATATTCATATGCTTTACAAGCTCCTGTATATTCATGTTATGTCCCTTTGGACATTTGCTTAAAAGGCAATAAGTTGTATGTTTCCCTATGGGCCAGGTTTGACCAACCTGCAGCCCATGGGCCATATGCGGTCCAGGACACCCATGGATGTGGCCCAACACAAAATCATAAACTTACTTAAACATTATGACATTTTTGTTCCGTTTTGGTTTTCTTTGGTAAATTTATTGCATGGTCCTTTAAATGAAGTGAAATAATCAGCGTAGGTTACATCTACAAATATAGGAGTATTATCCGTAATTCACATTATAATTGCAAATGGTTCAGCCAGAAGACCTGCTCGATGATTTTAAAAGACCTTCCAAATGGGGTGCCACTTTATTTATTTATATTCCACCCTACCTCCCCAAGGGGTCTCTGGGCAGATTCCAACATATACAGACACAAAGGCAAACATTCAATGCCTAGAAACAACGTAACATAGATACAAAGATAAAGTTAAAGGCTTTCCCGTTCATCTCCGACTCTGGAGGTAGTGCTCATCTCCATTTCGAAGCCAAAGAGCCTGTGTTGTCTGTAGACACCTCCTAGGTGTAGCCGGCATGGCTGCATGGAGTGCCGTTTACCTTCCTGCTGAGGCGGTACTTATTGATCTCACATTTGCATGTTTTCAAACTGCTAGGTTGGCAAAAGCTGAGGATAACAGCGGGAGCACACCCTGTCCCGTGGATTTGAACTGCCAACCTTCCAGTCAGCAAGTTCAGCAGCTCAGCAGTTTAGCCCATTTTGCTACCGTGGCCCCTGTAATAATTAGGATTATTATGCAAGAACCTTTCTTTTGCTTATCTGTGGCGGATATCACAAAAATTATGCATGGACCTTTTTGAGGGGTGCTCATCAGTTATTGTTAGTGTTACCATATTCCGTGTGTGGCCCAAAATGATCCTTCTACAGGCAATCAGGTCCTTTTTCTTGTATGTTTGCTAAGCCTTTAAACAGTAGTGAACAAAACTAATTGTTACCATGATCAATAGTAACCCTTTTCAGGACTTTCAAAATAAACACCTGTTTTTTAAAAAAAGCAAGTCAGTAGAGACATAAAATTTCTGGAAATTTTGAAGCTGTGAGATTTTAAAAAAATCCTTCTGTTTCCCCAGAAGAAAAAGAACCCATTGCTAATTTTTCATTGTGAGTATTATTAGTAATGTAATAATAACCCCTCCCTCCCCCCTTTTTAAATCTGTTGTCATTGTTGAAAGTGAACTCAGGTTTGCAGAAGCACAGTTAGCTGGCAGCATTTAGGGACAGAAAAATAGGCTTGACCTTTGAAAACCCCATAAAAGATGGTTGCCATTTTCCCTTAGCTACTTTTTAAGAAATACGACAGTCTGGAGCACTTATGGTAGGATAATTCCCATGCTCCATTATTATGCCGGTCTGAACAGCATGACGGAGTAAGAGCATAAGGAAAACTTCAGCAATTTTGTCTAGGTGGTATAGGCAATGTGCTTCAGCACAACTGAAAGCTTTTGATGGAATTTAATAGCATAAAAATTATTAGTGGGGAAGTCTAATAGTATCTAAAGAGATGTAGTTTTCTATGGAAGCAGTGGTTTGCTATGTATTCTCTGGAGGTTTTAGAGAAAATAAATTGCTCTTTATCTTTAGCCCTCTGAATTATAGGATTATACTAAGCCAGGCTTGCTGGATGATTTTTAAATCTAAAGGTATTAGAATTCTATAAAATAGTGAACAGGAGCTATTTTTCAAAGAGACAATCCATTGGTAGCAAGGGCACATGTACCCTTTCCTTCTGATTAAGATAATTAAAGATTGGACAGAATTTTTTTTTTTACGGTTGCAAGCTGCCTTCTTGAGAGTTTCATATAGTCATACTTTTAAAATGAATGGGCTCTTTTATTGAGAAATTACCTTTGTCATTCTAAGAAGAGTAGATTAAGCTGTAAATGAAAAGGTATCCTCTCTATTGAGAAATTGTAAGACTGAAGTATAAATGATAGAGGAGAGAAAATAATGCGCTATTTAAATAGGCTGTACTCTTTATGAGGCTTAATACTCTGTCACATGTGCCAAATGCAAGGCCTGTGGGCCAAATCCAGCGTACCGCACCATTATATATGGCCCACGAGGCTTTCAATGCCAGGGCAACATGCAGTAGAGTCTTATCCAGCCTTCGCTCATCCAACATGGTGATGGGTGAACATCGGGATTTGCTATATTGCAGTGAGCCATGAGAAAGATGAGACTACAAGGTGGTGTTTATCTACATGTCTGAGATCAAATCGGACATGGAATATAGGACAGTTGTTTGGAGGAGAGGGAGTTGAAGAAAGAGAAGGCGTATACAAGCATATTATGTTAGCCAGAACATGTGGTCTGCTATAATGTGCCTATGTAGGTGCATGGGAAGGGGGAGTCTGGGCAAGGTAGTCAACTCAAAATTATGATGATTAGGAATGGAAGAAACTAGAGAGCATTTTCCTGTATTTTTTATGGTTCCACAGGAAGAACTCTAGACTGCAAGAACATTTTCACTTATCCAATGTTCTGCAGGCCCATTTATGTTGGATAAGCGAGAATCTACTGTAGTTACATCTATACAGTCTTACACTTATAAACAGCTCTTTGAAGACAACCATAAGGCTGATATGGCTCTTGGTGAAAATGAGTGTGACACTACTGATCAAAGAGCACCAGATCCTCTTTCAAATTGGCAGCTAATCATGGGCATCCCTTGCATGATAGTCAACCAACAAATACCTGAGGCTGTAGGCTATATTTCAGTGCGAGGAAGTGGCAAAACCACCTTTGAGAATTCCTTGCTTTGGAAAATCCTATGAATTTTATGAGGTTACCATAAGTCAATTGATGACTTGGTGGCATACACACACAGTCATTATGAATCATAGAAAATATCACCACCAT